CTTTCATGTCTCCATCATTTCGTGCCAATGAAAATATGAAATAATGGTTAAGAGTTAAGACTTTCCGCTGCTTGATCGAGATGTAATCCATTGATAGAACTATTATGAAAAGATTGATCAGACATATATATAAATTTGTCAATTTGACGTTTAGGTTCTTATCATGTTATTCATAGATGATAAAATCCGTTAAACTAAAAATTATAGGTGTAAAATTAATTCTTTAACTTTTAAATATTACACATTTGGTTTAATTAGATAAAATTTTTTTTTGCAGTGATTTAGAAATTTCCTATGTGACAGCTAGACCTGAAAATTTTGAACGATCAAAGAAAAAAAATCTAATTAAAATGTAAAAAGTGCTATCATAACCATTTAGAAAGGTATTACCCAAATATAAGATTTAAATTTCTAACCTCACTTAAAAAGGTACACCTAATTATCATAGTATTATATAATACTTTAAACGTGAATTCACATATCTATATTTAAAATGTATAACACTACTAATCTACTATATATGATCTAGAGAGGAGGCATGGGTTCATGTTAAACTATGGACCTCCCCCCCCCCCCCCCCCCCGACCAACGTAAATACTTCCCTGCCCTAGTTAAAATTCCAGTTCAACCTTGATAGTGAATAAATATCTAGGCAGGTAACACTTTACTCCTAAAATACGTTTTTTTTTGTGTGAATCAGACTTGATGGGAACTTTTTTTTTTTAAAAAAAAAAAAAAAAGAAGAAGAGATGGTGTATAAATCACTGTTACACAAATTGCTGAGATATTTTAAAACTAGGTCCCAAAATTAATTGCTCAACAAATTTCTGGGTAGAGATAGAATTTCATTTTCCACTGTAAGCAATTATTTGTGGACTCCAATTTTAACATTTATTATTATAGTACTACTGGATAACACTTCGGCCCCATTGTGACCTTTTTTAGAAATTATTCTATACACACGTCACTTCAATTTTTTAACCTTTTGGAGCGTATCAAAATCCGCTTTATAGTATGCTATATAAAGGGTTAATACATAAACAAATCTATATGTAAACGTTTAGATAGTGGGGTATTTGTGCTCCGTCTTATTATATCGAAATTATTACAATTTTGTTTTTCGCTCATTATCTATCATAAAAGTTATTCTCGCCTTGCTATATGCTTTTTCATTTTTAATTTCTTATCTCTTCTAATATGTTTGTACATTCATTTAAGCATTTTCATTTTTCGTATATACTTTTATTTTTTGGACATGTGAGTTTTTGACTTACTATACATCCATTTAACTCTCTATTTCCAAGGATTAACTAGTATATAGGAAAGATAAGTAGTCGTGATGTTGACTTCTCATCCACAAAAAGTACCCCATTACTTATACTCATGATTTCTACACATTTTATTTTGGACTATATTCTCTTTCTCTCTTTTTAATACTATTAGTTAATCTCCAAGTCTTTCTTCAATTCTTCTCACTTATATCATTCATTAGTTCCACAAGCAAAAAAAAAAAACACCAACCAAAAAAATTAACTTATTAGTTCATGGGTTTGCATTTACTGATTATTTTAAAGCTGAATTTGAGAGCATCTTCTCTGAGTTTAAATACTCCTTTAATTATAAGTTTATTATGCCCTTTTATAATAAGGCTAGCAGCTTGTTCGTTTAAACCACTTCATCAAATTCACTATAATTTGGTTTATTCTATGAGGCTTTTTTTCTTCCAGATGAGCCAAATTACCTTCAATTCTCAACCCCCTGCTGCACCTACGCGGTGGGAAAGAGCTGTTCGTCTTGTCTACGAGAGATTCACACGTGCAAGGCACACACAATTTCAAGAGATGGATGAGGAGAGCTTGCGCGCTCTCTCCATGATTGCTCTTTGAACTAAGATTTGATTTCTCACGGACGTTCTGTCCATGAGAAATCAGGAATTTAAGGTGGGAAACAATTTTCCCACGAGCACATATTCTGATGAAGAGGTAGATTTTGAATTTAAATTCGAAGATCTAAGTGCTTGTCGATCTATCGATCGTATTACTTTTAAGTTACGATTTAGTAGTTTAGTATCTTTTGATTGAAATTTTAGTTAAAAATAATAATATTAGGTAAGTTGGATCTGTTGATATATATATATAAAAAAAAATACACTGGCGTTGTGGTACATTTCAAAGCTTCTTTTGTCGGTACTGTTATTTTTTAATCATGTACAATTTCTGTTTCAAAGTTCTTTGGGCATGAGTCCTAGCTAGTAATCGGAGAGTTAGACTCAAAATTTAAATATAGTATATTTTTTGGTTTCTTCCGTCAGCAATAAGTACCAGAATGTTTAAATTGCTAAATAGATTAGCTTAAAATATGGAGATTATTTTATTTTAGCTGCTAAATATGCGTTAAAATTTGTTAAGCATCTCTTTTAAACAAGGAATTTGTGGTAGGTAAAGTGCCAGCAAATAGTTAGGTGCCTATGAGCAGCCTGGCAACAATTTAAAGCAGCAGTCATGTAAGTGATTGTGGGGGAAAAATAAAAACAAAAACTGAAAATAAAGAAAATAATGTCATTTTTTCAAAAGGCATAATACATAAATATATCATTTAACTTAGCCTCATTTTACATTATGTCATCCAATTTTGAGTGTGCACAAATAGACACGCAAATTTGTATAAAGTTGAACATATAGACACACGAGTCCTACATGTCACAATACACGTAGGACACCACGTAGGACATAAATTTCCATGTAGGATGCCATGTAGAACGTTTGTGTCTATTTGTTTAATTTTATATAAGTTTAAGTATCTACTTGTGCACACAAAAAATTGGAGGGCATAAATATGAAATAATGTCAAGTTAAAGAGCATATTTATATATTATGCCTTTTCAAATATTGAACTTTTAGACGAGATAATTTATGTGTTTTTAACACTTCCTCTAATTTTAACTAGAGAACCTTGATTGCCATAATTACGAAATAGCTTTTACTAGTTGTTACGATAATTCATTCACTTTAAAGTTTAGATAAGACTAGGAATGACACATCAACCATAAACCTGTCCAATCTGTTTAGATTTAGATGAGTTAATGACCCGTTTAGTTTGACTTGTTTAAAATCTGAGTTGATATATCATTTATTTTGACCTATAAGAAATTCTATTTAAATTTTTTTAAGAATATTTTTAATATGGTATGTAGTCATAATATATGGAAACAAGATTAGGTACTCAAATAAAATTTAGTAAGAATTGGACTGGTTGAGTTAATGACTTAATTTTTAGTCCATTTTAGCCTATTCTATTTCAATTCAAGTAATTTCTGGACGGATCAATAACCCACTTATCAACTCAACTCATTTTAATATACTTAATTTCAACTTAATCCATTCATTTAATACTCGTAAATTAGACTACTAATAAGAAAACAAAAATTGCAAAAGCATCTAGGGAAGGTGAAGAAAATGTACAAGTGAAATGAATTCATTTGATGTGACATTACTATGTTACATTGCAAGCTGGTGAGTTTTTCTCCTTACCGGGACTAATTAAGGAGAGAATATCTGGGGAAGGTTTAAATGGAATGGTACAATCCCTCCGTCACCCCAGAATGAAAGGGGTGATCTCGTAGTTCTTGGTCTGTGAAGATGCGTTGTTAGGTGCTCCATTTTATTTTCCCATTGAGGCCGAACCTAAACTTGTGCTCGAGAGATAGCTGTCCATACACTGATAAGGGATGTATGGATTCTCGAGAAGAGAGGAGCCGTGGTGGTCCCCCCCGGACCGCTGCTATTATCGTATTGAATTTTGTTCCACGTCACAAAAACAAAATCCTCTTTGTTGATGTCGAATTTTCGGTAAAAAATATCCGTTATATCTAAAACTTAATCTACACGTACCCTTCAATTAATATATATACTACACAAAAATTGTTGGATATATTGTTTGAGAGATGACGGGCACTATCGATTTCTCATAATTTGAATTTTATTATATATTAAAGTAAGGATTCGCTTCGGTCTTATAATCTTGATCACACTTGTTACGTGCTTCAGCAACACTCCTTACTTTAGCACTCACACTTGCTTGCTCTCTTGCTTTCTTACCTACTTGGTTTGTTACTTACTTAGTTTCTTGCTTGGTTGCAACTCAAATGGACCACCTCTATTTATAGGAGGTGATGGAAGAATCTAGAGAAATACATACTATTCTATTCTAGAATATTCATAGCTATTTTTTTTAGAACTACCTTTCTAGAACATTTCTAGACTGTTCTCTCTAGAATACTCATTCTAGAGATTTTCCTTCAATTCTCTACAACTCCGGAATATTCTAGATTTTTCTTGATTTATCTTAAAGTAAATAATTAAGTTGGTGATGAATTCTTAACAAAAATCACAGTGTATTCAATGTTAATTAGCCTTGTTTTGGTGCTAAACTTTGATGGTGCCAAATCAGATAACATGAGAAATGTAAGAACAAGAAGTGAATGACGGGGATTTTTGGATTGCATTCGTACCGCAAATAATGGAAAACAGAGCTCGGGGCTTGTTGAACTAGCTAGGTTAAGTTCGTTTGGTTCGCGTTGATCATATCTTATGTTTATCCTGAATATTTTTTTATTCAAGTCACGTTTATCCTGAATATAATTAATATATCATGTTTTATGTTTAATTAAAGCAATTGGTTACCTGACTTCTTAATTAAGCACTAAAATGACTCATGTTGGTTTGCATGGAAAACGGTTAAGACGAAGGATAAATTACAAGAAGTGGCATTGCCTAAATTTAATTACCAAAAATTTATTAAATGACAAATACAAAACTAGCATACTCCCATTTCTTTCTGTATTAAAGAGAAATCAATCTAAGTAGAGCAAAATAAAGATCAGATAGGCAATTTCATTGTCTGCAGATGTCAACATATATATGTGGGTACAAACAAATTGAATTTCATTGAAATTGGAACCTAATATAAATACCTCAAGGAATTAAAATAAACATTTAATTTTAACCAAGGGAGAGGGCACGGAAACACTTTTCAATTCGGCTTAATTCCCTTGCCACATGAATCATGTATGGTCTATCATCTCCGTTGTCAGCTGTGCATTTCCTAGCAAGATCCAAGTAGTCTTTCAATTGTTGTTGAATCTCAATTCCATGCTCTTCTAAGATAGTTGGATCCACAATATCCAGTACATTACTCTCTTTAATATTACGATCGACAAAGTAATTGGTTGGAACATTTTTAAAATCTGTTGTCTCTTTTGAATTTGTAGAATCCACTCTATCCATAGAATTACCCTCTTCAGCATTTGATTTAGCGTCTTCTTCAAAATCTATGGTCTCTTCTGAATTTATAGAATCCACCACGAGATCAATAATATCGTACACTTTCTTTCCGATTAATAGCTGAAACAGAAGAACCCCAAAGCTGTAGACATCAGTTTTTTGAGTACTAATACCTGAGGCGATATTTTCTGGAGCTATATACCCCATTGTTCCACACACCTTATCTTGTACCTCCAATTCCCCTGGAGGCAGTGATATCGAGAGTGAGAAGTCCAATATTTTGGCAACGCCGCTCTTCTCATCTATTATCACATTGTGAGGCTGTATCATTCTGTGGATGATGGGCGTAGAAAATTCAGTATGGAGGAAAACGATTGCAGAAGCGACATCACGTGCAACTCGTAATCTGTTTCCCCAACATAGCGATTTTCCATTAAGATTAACCTTTTTGAAAAGTAGATCGAAAAGAGGTATACCTTCAATATATTCATACACCATAACTGCTTCTTCAAATTCTAGACAGCAACCGACAAGTCTCAACACATTCTTCAGATGACTCATCTGAGCAGTAATTGCTATATCTCGGTGGATATTCTTGAATGTACGTTCATTGAACCTAACTAAAACGGTGCGGTTGTCTAGCAATCCCGTAACCAAAGTCACATAAGCAAGGTCCATTTTGCTGTTAGAGTGTCTAATTGCATTGTCGATCTCTATGGCAGTGTAGTAATGGATGGGAATTCTGCAATTTCCGTCGCATAAAGCAAGAAGCTCCTTAAGCACGCAACTTCCATTCTGTAAATAACAATCATGCTCTTTCTTCCGTCTTTCTGCAGAGGCGGAGGAAAAACGTTTTTTCCTTGTGAGTAGTCCTCTGAAAAAAGGCATCTCTAATTTTGGAAGTGACTAGTCTGGATGAATTGGGATTAAATCCAATAAGGCATATCACTAATCACAAGTGGGAAGCTGCTTCCTGCTGGTCTTAATTTGTGCATTCAATTCCATACAAAATGACAACAAATTGAGTTTCATTGTAAATTAACAATGCGGAGGCATATCAGTGTGGGTCACAAGGATGGAATATTGCATGCAATTGGAAAAACGTCTGCCATATAGTGCCTTACAACTTACAAGGCATGGGGTCCGGCCCGCCTTATAAGTGTGGTCACTCTCACGCCTTACATTGTAAGTTAGCGACCATTAACTTTTTTTGGCATAATATTTAAAGAAAAGCTACTTGATTAGACATATGTTACTAACATGTATACTAATTTTACCTTTAGTTTCAAATAATTATTTATATTATCATTTTTAATATTTTAAACCATATATTTTAAAAGATACAATTAGATATACAAATTCTTTAAAAATGAGAATGATTAATTTTTGAAAGGATCAATAACTCACTTACTTATCAACTCAACTCATTTTAATATATTTAATTTCAACTTAATCCATTCATTTAATACTCGTAAATTAGACTACTGATAAGAAAACAAAAATTGCAAAAGCATCTATGAAGGTGAAGAAAATGTACAAGTGTAATGAATTCATTTGATGTGACATTAATATGTTACGTAGCCAGCTGGAGAGCTTGTCTCCTTACAGTGACTAATTAAGGAGAGAATATCTGGGGAAGGTTTAAATGAAATTGCTACTATCGTATTGAATTTTGTTCCACGTCACAAAAACAAAATCCTCTTTGTTGATCTCGAATTTTTGATCAAAAATATCCTTTAGTTATACCTAAAACTTAATCTACGCATACCCTTCAATTAATATATTGAACAAAAATCAGAGTGTATTCAATGTTTAGCCTTGTTTTGGTGCTAAACTTTGATGGTGCCAAATCAGATAACATAAGAAATGTAAGAACAAGAAGTAAATGAAGGGGATTTTTGGATTGCATTCGTCAAAATTCAAATAATAGAAAACAGAGCTCTCGGGGATCGGCTCGATTAAATCTTGGGCTTATGGAACTGGCTAGGTTAAGTTCGTGTGGCTCGCCTTGATCATATCTTATGTTTTTCCTGAATATTTTTGTATTCAAGATATGTTTATCCTGAATATAATTCATATAATCATGTCTTATGTTTAATTAAAGCAATTGGTTACCTGACTTCTTAATTTAGCACTAAAATGACTCATGTTGGTTTGAATGGAGAATGGTTAAGACGAAGGATAAATTACAACAAGTGGCATTCTCTGAATTTAATTACTAAAATTAATTGAATAACAAAAACAAAACTGGCATGCTCCCATTTCTTTCGGTAAACTGAAAAAATCAATGTTAGTAGCATAAAATAAAGATCAAATAGGCAATTTCATTATCTGCAGATATTGTTTTTTGTTCAACATAAATATGAGGGCACAAACAAACTGAATTTCATTGAAATTGGAACCTAATATAAATACCTCAAAGAATTAAAATGGATTAAGTTGAAATTAAATATACACCTTTCTTCCGTCTTTCTGCAGAGGCGGAGGAAAAAAGTTTTTTCCTTGTGAGTAGTCCTCTGAAAAAAGGCATCTCTAATTTTGGAAGTGACTAGTCTGGATGAATTGGGATTAAATCCAATAAGGCATATCACTACTCACAAGTGGGAAGCTGCTTCCTGCTGGTCTTAATTTGTGCATTCAATTCCATACAAAATGACAACAAATTGAGTTTCATTGTAAATTAACAATGCGGAGGCATATCAGTGTGGGTCACAAGGATGGAATGCATGCAGTTGGAAAAACGTCTGCCATATAGTGCCTTACAACTTACAAGGCATGGGTCCGGCCCGCCTTATCAGGGGCGGCTCAACGTAATTGGGGGCCTAAAGCGAAATTTCAATTTGCGGCCTAAAATATAAATACACTTCATATACGTATTTGTTCAAAAAAAATAAAATTACACTATTAAGATGAAAATTACTAGTACTTAATATTGTTTTTTGAGTTACTAGTTTTAAGTAAGATTTTATCAACACAACATTGAAAAACATCCTTTAAGTGAGACAATTATTATATGCATTGTTAACATAATGATATATATAATAAGTTGATAAATATTAAATAAAGATAAGAGCTAGAAGTTTAGAATCATAGAATTTGACTCAAAAAATTGATGACTTGGTATATCTCATTTTAATATGCTTAGAGTAATGCTTGAAACTAAAATTTAAAAAGAAATAAAAAAGAATTCGTAATTCACTTTGTTCAACACTTTTCACTGTTACTTCTTATTTTTAACAAAGTACAAAAGATGTTAAAGTGGATAAAATAATTTATTTTTAAAAAAATTATACTTTTTATCATAAATAATTAATTTTTCTATAAAATTTTTAACACATAATTTATTCTTCACAAAAATTTGGGGCCCCCGAAATTTGGGGGCCTAAGGCAAAGGCCTTATTTTTGCAAGCATAGAGCCGGCCCTGCGCCTTATAAGTGTGGTCACTCTCACGTCTTACATCGTAAGTTAGCGACCATTAACCTTTTTTGGCATAATATTTGAAGACAAACTACTTGATTAGACATACATTACTAAAATGTATACTAATTTTACGAGTCCGGAGCCAAAAAGGTAAGAAAGTTTTTCGAAAATTTCAAAAGGGCAACAAAATTAATTATAAACCCAAAAGGGCAACAAAATTAATTATAAACCCAAAAGGGCAACTTTCTGACGGAGAATCAAACAATGTCTAAAATAGGGTAGCCGGCGCAATGCACGGATTTCCATGCACCTTGCAAGGCGCAGCTGTCATGAGCCCTGTAAGGCTCTGCCGTCATGCGCCTTGCAAGGCCCATGGAAATCAGCGCCTTGTGGCTGTTTTATTTTTTAAAATTTTTTTTGTTCATTATTAAAAAACGAGTTAAATTTTCAATGGTTTGAAAATTATAAAGTATAGAACAATTGATTTCATATTTGGTGTTAGTCAGTGGGATGTTAGGAAAAAAGTGACATTTTATCCCCTCATTTTTTAATTTGATTAATTAAATTCAATTCTAACCGTGTAATAAAAACGTAAAAAGAGTAGATCAAAGTGTGAAAACTTTTATGCCATGGAATATAGCATCAAAATGGCAATTTCATTGTCTGCAGATCTTATTTTTGTTTATTAACATAAATATTGTTGTTCATCTTGTATTCCTAAGATACTTAGAACAAAACTTTGAAGAACTTGGTAAGACACAATAAAGTTTAAGAACATTTTCACAACTAGAAAATTAAAACTAGTAGAGAAACTAGAATCAGAAACAAATTAGATAAAATATACGAAATATTTTTTTTCCTTAAAGAAGAATTGTTGTCAATTTGATTCCAACAAACTTTGCAGAAACACGAAGTTACCAAAGTTTAATGAACCAGTGAAGAACAGAAGAACACAAATTAATTCACAAATCTAAAATCTGTAACACATACCAGAATCTGGAAAAACAGAAAGAAGATCAAGCCCACTGAATGCACAGTGTCCCCTTAAGGAAATTATTCCCCCCTAGTATCCGAGGTTTGATTTGGAATATGTCCTCCCAGGATAGAATGATCTCAATCACCAGTGTATTGATACCCAAAACGCTAGTGTCAGCGAGCCACTCAAAGGCAGTAAAGTACACTTAGAATACTAGATTTAGTAGTAGAAGAAGTCCAGAAAAATTCTATTTATAAAATGAGAGGAAATTCCTCAATTTATAGAAAACAAAGGGTAGTGTGAAAAGGTTCTTATTGTGCCTTACCGGAAATGTCACAAACCTTTGGAAAAGTCATAATCTTTCGGAAAGGTCACCACCTTTCATAAAAGTTGCAACTTTTCATAAAAGTCTTAACTCTTCATAAAAGTCGCAACTTTTCACCAAAGTCACAACTCTTCATAAAAGTCGCAACTCTTCATTTTCCATTCACACCTTTTAAAACCCAACAAATATGAGGGTTCAAACAAACTGAATTTCCTTTAAATTGGAACCTAATATGAATAATTTAAAGAATTAAAAATAAACATTTAATTTTGAGTAAGAGCCAGGACACGGAAACACTTTTCCATTCAACATAATTCCCTTGCGACATGAATAATGTATGGTCTATCATCTCCTTTCAAAGTTGTGCATTTCTTAACGAGATCCAAGTAGTCCTCCAATTGTTGTTGAATCTCAATTCCATGTTCTTCTAAGATAGTAGGATCTGCAATATCCACTACATTACTCTCTTTAATATAACGATCGACAAAATTGGTTGGAAAATTTTTAAAATCTATTGTCTCTTCCAGAATTACAGAATCCATAAAGTTATCTTCTTCAACAGAGTCTTCTTCATCAATATCTGTTGTCTCTTTTGAATTCACTCTATCTATAATATCATACGCTGTCTTTCCTGTTAATAGTAGAAAGAGAAGAATCCCAAAGCTGTAGACATCAGTTTTTTGAGTAATAATACTCTGGTAGTAATATTGTGGATCTCTACGGCAGAGAAGTAACGGATGGGAATTCTGCAATTTCCATCGCATAAAGCAAGAAGCTCCTCAAGCACCGCACTTCCATTCTGTAAATAACAATCATGCTCTTTCTTCCGCTTTTCAGCATCGGCAGAGGAAAAAAGTGTTTTCCTTGTGAGTAGTAGTAGTTCCCTGAAGAAAGACATTATTTGCTTCAGAATTGAGATTAGATCCAAAAAGGCATCACCAGTGGGAATGAATGAGCAAGGAAGTAGTGAGGTTCCGCTGCTCTTTCTTACTTTGACGCGTGCATTAAATTCCACACAACATGACAAAAAATGGAGTTTCCATGGCGATTGTTTATCAGTTCCATTACGGCACCCTAATTAATTCACACTTATTTTGGTTTATGATGTTGACCTTTTTTATTAACACTCTGTTCCTTATTAAGTGAATTAGTGAGATAATGCATATTCATTAAGAAAAAATATTTAATGCATAATTTAATCTATATTTTTCATTATTTTTCTTTGAGAAATCATAAATATAACTTTGTAGTAAGTAGAACTTCTTTTATTCCTAATTACTTGTCCACTTTTGAATTGACACACCTATTAAGAAAACAAATAATTGACATAATGAGTTTACCATTTTACCCTAATTAATTATGAAGTGGATGAATAAAAACTTAAAATCTTCAAGAAGTTCTACATTTTCCAAAGTCAATTAATTGAGGGTATAATTGGTAAATTTTTTTTATCCTTTTTTGATATGTCAAAATGGACAAGTAAAAATAAAAATTGGACAAGTAATTAAGGACAGAGGGAGAAATTTATTGCCTATGAAATATCAAACTTCATTAAAAAGAAAAGAGCAAATATGAAAAAAAATTCAACATCCATCTTAAACTTTGAAAAATGAAAATCTTAGTAACTCCGTTGTTGGCTACGTATACTCCCACCTTGGTTGTGAGGATTCGATTCCCCCCTTCCCATTTCCCCTTCCGATCCCCTAACCCCAATTTTTTTAGAAGAAAAATAAAACTTTGAACAATTTCATTATTTTGAGTAATGAAATTTTTTTCATAAATTCACTTAAAATGAAATATGGATAAATTCTTTTGGCCCAGATGGCTTTTGACACAATAAACTGATTTTCATTTTGACTTCTTTATCCTTCCCTTCCAAATTTAATATTTTTAAATTAATTTATTTTGGAAAATAGTGATAATAATCCCTGTATTATTGCATACTTCCAGTTTAAATTCGTTTGTTATTTGATTGTGTACATTTAATCTTTAATAATTTATAGTGTGGGGTTTTAGTCCTTGAAGTTAACACAAGTTTATTATTTAACAAAATGATTATTTTAAAATATATAAAATAAAATAAATTAAAGGGTTGGTGATTCTAAAAGCTTGAAGAATTATGTGTATGAGAAAATATTAAATGTAGTAAAAACAAAATGTTAATTTTTTTTAATAACGAAAAGATGTTAGGACATCATAGATAGCCTTAAGGAGCATGTCCACTTGCTAAACCCTTTCAAATATAATCATATTTAACCTTGATTAGTAACCATTGAAAAAGACAAGAAGAATGAGTTGCTAATAAATAAAAAAAATGGAGCAAATAGAGAAACAAATGAGTTAAATTTATATACATAATTGTTCAAGCATTTAACATCATTAACCCGTTATTTTATTTTTAAATATTTTCAAATAATCATTTTGTTAAATAGTTAACTTTTGTTAACTTTAAGGATCAAATTCACACACTACAAATAATTGAATGTTAAATGTGCATAGTGTTGAAAAATATATATAATAGATGGAGAAATATAATATCAAAATAATCAATACAAGAATTAGGATAAATACTACTACAATAATATTCTTAAGTAATATATATATAATACTTGAAAATGGTGATTTAGAAGAAGAAATTTATATGGTTCAACCTGAAGGATGTATTATTCCTGAACAAGAAAATAAAGTTTGTAAGTTAATCAAATCTCTTTATGGCCTAAAACAAGCTCCTAAATAGTGGCATGGAAAAATAGATCAAGTCTTACTGAGAGACTATTATGTATCTATTGAAGTGGATAAATGTGTTTATACCAAAATGGTAGACAATGATTATGTGATAATATGTTTATATGTTGATGACATGCTTATATTTGGTGTTGACACCCAATTTTCGACCTCCACATTATAGATTAATCATCGAGCTTCTTCAATTTCAAATGATTTAAAATAATTAGTTTCATAAATTTTCAAAAAAAAAATATATATATTTTTTGTAGGTTTTTAAATAGTCTATCACTTTTTGTATTTTTAATAATCTATATGTTTTTATAATTATGTATGAAATAAGTATATCCTATAAATATTCGAAAATCATTTCAAAAGACTTTATATTTTTTTTTAGTGTATTTTAAAGTGATGGCTATAATTTTGAATTAATTAGCTTTTATGAGATTCAAAATATTTTTCGAGTTATTTTTTATGTAAGTTTTGTCAGTTTTATAATTTAAAAAAATAAAAAAAATAAAAAATATTTTTATAGTTATGTATATAATTAATATATTTTATTTGAAAATCGTCTCAAAGGTTTTAATTTTAAATTTTTCCAATTAGTTTAATTAATTAATAGTTAATATTTTAAAAATTAGTTATTTAATTTTGTTAAGATTAAGAAACTCGTTAATTAATTATATTAATTCGTCTTATTTAGGTTTTAGCCTTTTGCAAATTAAAATCAATTTGGCTATATTTCTTTTTTATGATTTTAGTCATTTTTATTTTACCTCCTTTAAAACTTTTAAGAAATCAAATTTGGGCCTTTTTCCATTACCCTTCAACCGGCCCAATTCCACTAGCAGCCCACCTTTCCAAATTTCCAAATTTCAACCAAAAGAGAAACCATTACGTACAGCAACAATACAATATCAATTCAACAGTAACAGTGCCCGACCCAGCCCACTTTATTTCACGGAAGCAATACAATAACATCAACAATACCAAAAGAACCAGACGACCCCTGCATCTTCTTCATGCGAGAAACGATACAACAACAACGCATACCAAACTCGACCTCACCCCATACTTGCTTTCGTCTTCTTCACGCCTAAAATCACCGGAAATCGCGGAGAACCCAGAGACGTGATCATCTGCGAAAACCCATAACCCTAGAGTCCTAATAGATCACATCGCCATCCTATTTTCCCACTTTTCGGGGATTTCTGAATCTCTTTCACTATTCCCTTGAAAAGAGCAAAGAGAATTTAAATTTTGGATTCAAAAATCATCCAAAATTTCTGCCCGTTTCCCCCCTTTTTTCAATCCCAAATTCGGCCTATAAATACCCATGTTCACTCTTGAGGAGAGCGGATAGACGGTTGAAGTTTTTTTTTTTAGCAATAGTCACTTCTACACTTTCAAGAAAAAGATATATCTAGTTTTCCGATTCTAAATTCCAAAACGATTGCCGCCCGAATTTTCTTAACTTGCTGCTCCTATTCGAAAGATCGTGGTAGAAGAATCGTTTCTCCCTGCTTGTTGTTCCTAGTTCGCTGCTCCAAGAAAGGTAATTCCGCCCCCTCTTACATTCTGATTCAATACAACATTGTGCGCTCAATTTTTTATATGAGTTCTATTATTAAGTGTGGTTAGTTCCTTGTCTTAATGTTTTATTCCTCTTTAGCGTAGCTTTCCTCTGATTCCTGGACAGTGAGCATGAGTGAATACTAATAAAGCTAGCTATCTCCATTTGATTTTGTTCGAAATCTTCTGCTGTTCATTTGGTCTCAATTTAGAGTATATTTATTGTACAATTTTGCCTCTTCAGTGTCCTTTGGTTATTCACTTTGTCGTTTTGAATTACCGTAATAGAAAAGATTAGGTCTTGTTGCACTCCTCGTCTTATAAATTGACCTCTCCTGCTAAAGTAATCAGTTTGGATGCCTTATCGCAATAATATTCATTTAAAGTAGTTGTGACATTAACTTTAATGTGTTTATTTCGAGTAAAATGAGGTTGTTCGAGTTCAAAGTTATGGGCTGTTTGAAGATGTTTCTGATTTGGGTTCTCAAATTCCACATTCATATAAGTTGTTAGTATGTCTCTGTTGTTATTGTAATGACCCTCATGGTCATTTCTGTGTTTTGCCTTCTGTGTGTTGTTTAGAGCGTTCCTATAGCGACCCCAAGTCATTTATGACTTGCTGGGACTGACAGTTCGGTCACCTGGTCGTTCGTTTGGTCTTGGTGTGAGTTTTGTGTTTTGGAGCTTATGAACCTTGAACGATCATTTTCGATCAAAAGTTCAAGAAGATGACATCGGAATCCAATTCTGACGATTTCATCAGCTCCGGAAGGGTCATTTTAGGCTAGTAGCTTGGTCGACATGACTCCCGAGGTTTTCAGTGTGAGTCGGTGCGATTAGGCGTTTTAGCCTTTGAAATTTGACATAAGGTTGACTTTGGTCAACATTCTGAGTAAACGCGCTCGGATGAGAATTCCGTCAGCGTGGTTAGCTCCGAAATGTCGAGTTTGGTCTAGATTGACCTTTCTTTTGTGTCTGGAGGTTTTCGATATCTTTCCGAGCCCTTTTGTGGGTTTTGACTTAAAAGGGCTTTTGGAAGTGGGACCCACTTTTTATCGAAATGACCTCTGATGGAAATTTTGACTGCGCCGTTGAGTCTGGAATGTCGAATTTGGTATGGTTGAAAAGTAGATCGAAAAGAGGTATACCTTCAATATATTCATACACCATAACTGCTTCTTCAAATTCTAGACAGCAACCGACAAGTCTCAACACATTCTTCAGATGACTCATCTGAGCAGTAATTGCTATATCTCGGTGGATATTCTTGAATGTACGTTCATTGAACCTAACTAAAATGGGGCGGTTGTCTAGCGATCCTGTAACCATAGACTCATCAGCAAGCTCCATTATTGTGGTTTTAGAGTGTCTAATTGCATTGTGGATCTCTATGGAAGTGTAGTACCGGATGGGAATTCTGCAATTTCCGTCGCATAAAGCAAGAAGCTCCTCAAGCACACAACTTCCATTCTTTAAATAACAATCCTTCTCCTTCTTCCGCCTTTCAGCAGAGGCAGAGGAAAAAAGTTTTTTCTTTGCGAGTAGTAGTCCCTTGAAGAAAGACATTATTTGCTTGCTCTAATTTAGAATAGGGATTAAATCCAATAACGCATCCATCACTAGCTAGTAGTTAACAAGTCGGAAGAAGCTTCCTGCTGGTCTTAATTTGTGCATTCAATTCCATACAAATTGAGTTTCCAAGTACTTTCATTGCAATTGCTTATCAAGTTCCATTACGCCCTAATGTCGTTGTCCTATCAATTAATATTTGATTTTTGGATTTAGCTAATGAAAATCAAAACTTTATGTGGTGTATCAAGCCTCAGTTTTTTTTTTTTCCCATAACTGTTACTTTAATTAATAATTTATTTATTCATTGTAGTGACCGAACACACTATTTCCTTTTTTAATTTAATTAATATACGTACAATAACATCAATTATAATGACGTGAACCTGCAGGCCTAGCTCTTGTTAATTCGAGAATTCTATGCTTTCCTGGCAAAGAGGAAATTTAACATATCCAATAGAGCCGTCAAAAAGGGCTTAGCCCATGGGCCCGGTCTGACCCAATCCGTTATTGGGGTAGGGTTAGGATATGATTTTACAAGCCCGTTTAAAATCGGGGCTTATAGGCCCAACCCTTTTAGGCCCTTAGCCCTTGAGACTTGATCGAGGTTGGGTCAGAGTCGGCCCACGGGCCAAATTATTTAATTTTAATGAAAATAAATATTAAAAAATAAAAATAAAAAACTAGAAAACCTAAGTAAGTATTTGTGGAGTTTTTCTAAGGAGCTTACCTCATGAATTCTTTATTATTTAATTTTGAATATAAGACTTGGATAGTAAACACTATTTATATTATATGTGATAGAATATTTTATGTCTTGAACAATTAATTAGTTTCTTGATTTCATTTAACAAAATACTTTAAGTAATTATGTATTGCTAACTAAAGTTTTAGTCAGAAGTGTTCTTTAGTTTACTAGTTTGTTTTTCAGATATTATTTACTTAAGAGATTTTTTTTCTTTAAATATTTATTGCTAGATTTTATTTAGAATTATTGAAACAATGTTACTGTTTGTGACATTGATTTGACATAAAAAAAAAGAAAAAAAAAGGGCCGGCCTGCCCCAGCCCTTGACCCTTCTGGGGTTGGGCCGGGTTGACCATTTTACAGCCCTTTGAAATGAAGGGCCGGCCCGTCCCAGCCCATCAAATTCTTTGGCCCGCGAGGCTTGGGCGGGGTAGAGCTGGGCTGACCCGTTTTAACAGCTCTAATATCCAAATGGCCGGCAAATGACAAATACAAAACTACGGATAAATTTCCTTGAAATTAGAACCTAATATGAATACCTCTAAATATTTAATTTTGACCAAGAGCGTGGGTACATAAACACTTTTCAATTCAACATAATTCCCTTGTGACATGAATCATATATTGTCTATCATCTCCGTTATCAACTATGCATTTCTTAACAAGATCCAAGTTAGTCTTCCAACTGTTGTTGATCCAACAAAACACATATAAGTGGATTGCCATTTTGTTAGGGACAAACTTTAACAATGATTAATTGCACTTAATCATATTTCCACACATTCACAGCTAGCATACATTTTTACCAAGGCCTTGACTGGAGTCAAGCATTCAACAATTCTAAGCAAGTTGTTTGTACTTATTGCGCCTCCAACTTGAGGGTAATAGAATTAGTGAGTAAATTAAAGGTAGTTAAAGTGTTAGTGAAAAATTACAAAATAACAAATATACAAAATTACAATTGAAAATAAAACGTAGAAATAATAATCTCTTCAGGTTGAGGCGCGAATATCTCGCTCTCTTTAAGGAGATTCAAGTCCACTGCAACAAATGTTTTTTACCAGTTCAACAGTAGTCCTTCTTGACTTGTTCCTTCCAAGATACAACAACTTAATCACAAAATATAACTCAACAATCATGGACAAGAGTTGTGTCCAAAACTCCACAAAAAGAACACTTCCCTTCAACTAATAAGAACTCTCTTTTTTGACTAACTTTATGCACTCTCTATTTTCTTGTGTGTCTAAACCAAATGAAGACCACCACTATTTATAGTTGGGGATGTCTTCCTAGCAATGAATAGGAAGATAATGGGGTAGTAAATAGAAAAGATAAATGACCTAGAGGTTACATAGATTACAAGGCATAATGGAGGAAGAATAATGAGATTTCAATATCGAGGAGTAATGGTCATAGTTGACCACTACTTGTTCTAACAGAATAACACAACGGCCAACAAAAAATAACCCAATGTTCTAGCAAAATTTATCAACATTGAAGAATAACAACTAAGCCAAAATTCAACGGACAAAAGTAATGCACTATGACGAGTAATTAGCTATCATGCATGACTTCTTACACGTATGATACCAAGGAATTGGATAAGCCACTTCAACATAATTTTAATAAGAATATTAAAATGTTCCAAAGCCAATATATATAAAGTAGTTAGAATTAGGCAGTTAGTTAAGTTTGTTAGAATTGTCAGACTAGTTTAATTAGCTATTTTCCTTTCTCATGTATGTGTATATATACACACCAATGTAATGCTTATTGATTCAGTTAGTAAAAAAATGCAATACACAGCTTCCAATTCTTCTTTCTACAAGTTTCTTCTTCTCACTGAGTTAATGAAGAACTCCAGCTTATTTCAGCACTCTTGTTTCCAACTTTGTCAAACTAAAACAGGGCGGTTGTCCAGCAAGCCTGTAACCGTATACTCATCGGCACGGTCCAATATTATGGTTTTAGAGTGTTTTATTGCATTGTTGATCTCTATGGCAGAGAAGTAACGGATGGGAATTCTGCAATTTCCATCGCATAAAGCAAGAAGTCCTCAAGCATACAACTTCCATTCTTTAAATAACAATCCTTCTCTTTCTTCCGCCTTACAGCAGAAGTAGAGAAAAAAAGTTTTTTCCTTGTCAGTCCCCTGATGGGAATCATGCAAATAGCAATAATATCAATTATAATGACGTGAATCTGGCATAGCTCATGTTATTTTGAGAATTCTATGATTTCTTAGCAAGAGTAGATATTTAACATATCCAAATGGCAAATGACAAATACAGAAGGCATAATACATATATTGAACCCTAAACTTGGCTTCAAATTTTAACTTTGACCTCAAACTTTCATAGTGCACAAATAAGCACTTTAACTTGTATAAAATAGAACAAATAGACACACATGTCCTACATGGCACAATACACGTAGGACACCACGCAGGACAAAAAATGACATGTAGGATGCCATGTAGGACATGTGTGTCTATTTGTTCTATTTTATACAAGTTAAAGTGCCTATTTGTGCACTATGAAAGTTGGAGGTCAAAGTTAAAATTTGAAGCCAAGTTTAGGGTCCAATATATGTATTATGCCAATACAGAACTACGGACAAATTACAAGCAGTGGCACTGTCTGAATTTAATTTCTAAAATTTATTGAATGACAAATGGAAAACTAACACGGTCCATATTTCTTTCTATAAACCGAAAAATTAAGGATGAATCAATCTGAATAGAGCAAAATAAAGATCAAATTGGCAATTTCATTATCCGCAGATATCATTTTTTGTTCAACATAAATATGATGGTACAAACAAACTAAATTACCTTCAAATTGGAATCTAATATGAATACGTTAAGAAATTAAAAATAAACATTTAATTTTGACCAAGAGTGTGGGCACATAAACACTTTCCAATTCGACCTAATTCCCTTGCGACATGAATAATGTATGGTCTATCATCTCCCTTGTCAGCTGTGCATTTCTTAACAAGATCCAAGTAGTCTTTCAATTGTTGTTGAATCTCAATTCCATGCTCTTCTAAGATAGTTGGATCCGTAATATCCATTACATTACTCTCTTTAATATAGCGATCGACAAAGTTGATTGGAAGATTTTTAGAATCTATTGTCTCTTCCAGAATTACAGAATCCAGGCTATTCATATCACTACCCTCTTCTGTATTGGATTTAGCGTCCTCTTCAAAATCTATTCTCTCTTTTGAATTTGTAAAATCCGCTCTTCTAGAAATACTGTTCATGTCCTTTCCGGTTAATAGCTGAAAGAGAAGAATCCCAAAGCTGTAGACATTTGTTTTTTGAGTAATAATACCCTGCTGGAGATATTCGGGAGCTATATACCCACTTGTTCCACGCACATCATCTACTAACTCCAATTCCCCTGGAGGCAATGCTATGGAGAGTGAGAAGTTCAATATTTTGGAAACCCCGCTGTACTGATCTATTATTACATTGTGAGGCTTTATATTTCTGTGGATGATGGGTGTAGTAAATTCAGTATGGAGGAAAACGATTGTAGAAGCAACCTCACGTGCAACTCGTAATCGATTTCCCCAAGATAATAGCGATTTTATATTTTGACCATCCTTTTTGTAAATTAGATCGAAAAGAGATATAGCTTCAACATATTCATACACCAGAACTGGTTCTTCAAATTCTAGACAGCAACCGACAAGTCTCAGCACATTCTTGAGATGACTCATCTGAGCAGTAACTGCTATATCTCGGTGGATATTGTTTAATGTACATGTATTGAACCTAACTAAAACAAGGCGGTTGTCTAGCGATCCCATAACCATAGACCCCTTGGCAAGGTCCATTTTTCTTTTAGAGTGTTTTATTGCATTGTCGATTTCTATGGCAGTGAAGTAACGGATGGGAATTCTGCAATTTCCGTCGCATAAAGCAAGAAACTCCTCAAGCACCAAACTTCCATTATTCAAATAACAATCCTTCTCTTTCTCCCGCCTTTCAGCAGAGGCAGAGGAAAAAAGATTTTTTCCTCTGAAGAAAGGCATCTCTAATTTAGAAGTGACAGTCTCCATGAATTAGGATTAAATACACAATAAGGCATCCATCACTATTAGTGTACTAGATGGAAACAACTCGGACAATAGAAAATTATACAATAGAAAAGACCATCTAAAGAGCTTTATCTCAATCATAATCGCTAAAATAGTGAAAAAAACTACGGCAGAAAATTACACATTGTAGAAAATAGTGACAGTTGTATTAAGTTGTTTAATTAGAATAGCTTAAATAAGATTAGTTACAGAGTCTGTTAGATTAAAACTGATAGTCAGTTAGTTAGCTTTGTAAATAAAGTAGTTGGTTAGTGACATGTATAAATAGACACACTTGTATCAATGAAAGGTAATGCAGTTTCACAAAATATCTCCAGTCACTTTCTTTCTTCTCCTCTAATGTCAATGTAGCAGTGCTAGGTTAATACTTTCAACATGGTATCAAAGCTAGATTCCATTGAAGCCTAGCATATCTTGTTGCATAGATTTTTACGTGAGAAGAGATCTGGAGAAGACAACTGCATATACTCGAGAAAAGGAATTTGGGGATTTCATCACTAATCGAGGAATTACACATGTTTCCTACCATCTAAAGAGCTTTATCTCAATCATAATCGCTAAAATAGTGAAAAAAACTATGGCAGAAAATTACACATGTTTCCTGCTGGTCTCTTAATTTGTGCATTGACTTTCACACAAATTGAGTTTCTAAGCACTTCCATAGAAAATTCCGTGACTGCTCGAGGATGGAATGCATGCAAGTGGAAAGGCGTCTCCCCGACTGCCATATAATGCCTTACAAGGCAAGGGGTCCAGCACCTCTCATAAGGTGTGAATGTGATCATCCTCATCCTCACGCCCTACTTCGTAAGTTGACGTCTCCCGCATGGCATGCCCCACGTTTTTGTCCAATTGATTTCTTTTCCATTACTGTTACCCCATTTTAAATGTGGATTAAAAAAAAAAAAAAATACTATTACCCTTTAAGCTCCGAATTCGTTTCTTCTTTCTTTATTCAGCTTCGTAATTATTTGCTTATTAAAATATATTTCGCATTGTAACACAATCTTTTTGTATTTCTTGCGTTTACTATTTTCAAATTCTATTTTAAAAATCATAACTCACTGAAGGAATTGAAAAGTAAAAAAGATACTACTAAACTATCCCTCTATTTCTATTTAGTTGTTACCAATTTAGATTTCACACTTACTAAAAATTTAGGTAAATTTATTATTGTATCTCTATTTAATGTTCTCTTAAAATTAAAATTTCAAAAAATATGACAGTAAATATGTTTACAAGAAATCTAAATAACATTAATCCATATCAAATCTTACGATAAAAAAAATAATCTTTTCATATTCTCTTATATTTCATGAAGAGTAAATTACAAATGAAATACATGATAATTGAAATGCATTGAACTTCTAATTTAAATTTTTGAGCTTGAAATTGGAGTCAAAATTTCAATACCAATTGATTCAAAAAATTTAGTTTGTTTGTTGTGATTCCTTTTTGAAGATCATTTTTATTTTATTTCAAAATTTACTCTCTACTTTTCACCATGTAAAACACAACTCTTCGCTAATAAAACACGGTGCTTCAAAATAGGCATACCTTACCACCAGAAAAAACACAATCCCTGTTACGGCACATTAAAGTATCTCAGCCTTTGACCATATATCTCACAGTCTTCCGCATTAGTGCAATTAATGTCGTTAATTATGATGGGCGTAGTGATCTGGTGAATTATATATGAATATACCTTTTAAATTGACATGAAAAGATTTGCACTTCATAAGGTATCGATTCTTATATCTCTTTGCTTAATTAAACAATTATACTATGATGACATCGTGCTTGCTCTTAATATGCTTTGGAGGGAGTGTAAGAAATCTTTAAATAATGTTGTTGAACCAAGATTAGCCTCTGGCTCATGATTAGATGAGGACGTTGGAGACTTAGAAGGGTGTTAGCTCTTCGACAGAACCAAGCCTTCCGCGGCTGAAGAAAGAAAATCCTCAGTCCGGTGATGGGCCAAGAATTCCATTTTTCTATTTAGACATTTAATTGCCCAAATTAGGCTCTGCAAGATATTCTTCTCAACCTCCTTTTGAATCTCCCTGTTCTTCAGACCATTATACATTCAATACTTCCACCATGGTTGCTTAAATCATGTACAGAAAATCAACATAAATTCAAGTATCAAATTTTATGGAAAATTTTAAGCAACATGGATATGTTATGTGCAGACTTGCACAGTTTGTAAGTTTTTTCATAATTTAAGAATTTGGATATTAGAGTAGATCAATCATAATACTAATGAAGTTATTTATGATCACACTTATTACCTAATTATATAGTATAATTTATTATAAGGACGTTAACCTGGCCTAGTTCATCTTAATTCGAGAATTCTATGCTTTACTAGCAGAGATGAAATTTAACATAATCTAAAATGTTACAATCTTGTAAACCAAGAAACGTTTATTCTGAATATTCATATATCATATCTTGTGATTTAATTAAAGCAATTGATTACCTCACTTCTTAATTAAGCACTGAAGGAGAAATCAATCCGAATAGAGCAAAAGAAAGATCAAATTGACAATTTCATTAAATGTTTGGAACCTCTAAACATTTAATTTTGACCAAGAGCGAAAACACTTTTCAATTCGACACAATTCCCTTGCGACATGAATCATGTATGGTCTATCATCTCCCTTGTCAGCTGTGCATTTCCTAGCAAGGTCCAAGTAGTCTTCCAATTGTTGTTGAATCTCAATTCCATGTTCTTCTAAAATGGAAAGAGCTACTATATCTAGTACATTATCCTCTCTAATATAACGATCGACGAGGTTGGTTGCATTTTTCACTCTATCTATATAATTTAATGTCGGTATTGAATATGTACCTTTTACACTTATCATAATATCGTACACGTCCAATCCAGTTAATAGCTGAATGAGGAGAATCCCAAAGCTGTAGACATCAGTTTTTTGAGTAATAATTAACTGGTGCTGATATTCTGGAGCAATATACCCGTCTGTTCCACACACACCATCATCTCGTACCTCCAATTCCCCTGGAGGTAATGATATGGAGAGTGAGAAGTTCAATATTTTGGCAACGCCGCTCTTCTCATCTATTATCACATTAGATGGCTTTATACTTCTGTGGATGATGGGCGTAGTAAACTCAGTATGGAGGAAAACGATTGCAGAAGCAACCTCACGTGCAACTCGTAATCTATTTCCCCAACATAGCGATTTTCTATTAAGGTGACTATATTTATTTGTGAATTTTTCGCATAAATTATATATATTTTTTCATATTTTTCCTTTTTTTATTAATAAATTACTCATTTTCGAGATTTGCCAAAAAAAATTGTTGAATTTAAGGTTACTATATTTATTTGTGAATTTTTTGCGTTAATTTTATATTATTTTTCATATTTTTTATTAATCAATTACTCATTTTCAAGATTTACCAAAAAAAAATTAAAAAAATTATTGAAATTATTGAATTTAAGGTTACTATATTTATTTGTGAATTTTTTGCATTAATTTGATAATTTTTTCATATTTTTTCTATTTTTTATTAATCAATTACTCATTTTCGGGATTTATCAAAAAAAAATAAAAATTAAACAAAATTGTTGAAAACGGGTCGGATATTTTATTAAAAGGGGGGTTGTTTTATGGGTCGAATTAGGTGTTTATGGATCCGAATTTTTTAGGCGCATAATTGATCATTTTCCATTTTCATATAAATGACATGTGGTAAGGTCAAAATGACATGGCAATTCCATGTGGCATTTAAAGAAATGGAAAATGAGTTGGATATGTCCAGCAGACCAACTAACGCCCATAAGGGCATATATGCGAAAAGTTGGACGGCGAGGGCACGTGTGAGCCAAACTTTAAATGGGGTATATCTAGACAATTTCGAATAGTTTAGGGGCATAAACGGGGGTATAATATTTTTAAAGAATTAAAAAAAAAAAGTAACAATTAAAAATTTCAGTCCTTTGAAAAAAAAAAAAAACAAGTAACAAACTTTTATCTTCTTAATTTACATATTATTTTATTTTCATTTGATTTTTTTAAAACTTTTGAGTATTATAACAAAAAAGTGATAATAGCTAGAGATTGGACACAACCAAGTGATTTACATTATATTTTAGAGATAAATGTCAAAAACATACCTAAACTATCTTTTTTTTTTAGTTTCATACCTAAGTTATTGAAAGTGTGAGTTTCATACCTAAATTATCACTTATTAGTTTGAGAAACACATATATCTATTTTATAACACTCTCATCATGGTGTGTAATACACTATTTCTTTTATTTAATAAAAAAATATCATATCACACTCCACATTGACAAAACATTTCACCTTGATAAAATTTAAATAAATTATTAGTATTAGTTAAAATTAAAGATTAAAAAACTATTATCCCAAAAATATAAATAATTTTCTTATAAAATAAAATGTAAAATATTTTTCTTACCCCACTCCATCACTTCCTTTCACCGAACACCCCCCCCCCCCCTACAAATACTAATTTAGATATTGTTTTATTTTCTTACAAAATTATTTTACCCACTCCACCTAACCTTTCGTTGCCAAATTTTTTTCTCGTACTGTGTTAGATAAATACATATCAAAAATATTTTTTACTTGTCGCCGTAAGAATTTTTTTAAAATAAATTTTTTATTTATGTTATATTCGGTACACAAGTTAAAAAAATTCCTAAAAATATATGTACATATCTAACACAAAAACGAGAAAAATGTAAAAATAAAATAAATAAATTAAAAGTGGAGGGTTAAATAAAATGGGGTAGAACTTTAATTTTTTTTAAAATAAAATAATATCAATTTTTTTTAGGAATGCGTGGGTGGTTTTGGGGGGGAGGGGGATACGTGGAGGAGGTGGTGGAGTCGGGGGGGGGGGGGATTAGCGATTACAAGAATATTTAACTTAAGACTTTAATTTACATAATAAATATCAGTCTACTCTTTTTATTTACAACAATAACATTTTAATTACAAATATGACAATTTATTAACTATATGTATCTTCATACGTTTTTATACCTATTTTCTTGGCTCAGTGGCTGATTTTATGGAACTCATTATTTATTATTTTTACCATTTAGATTATCAATCACAATTATAATTGCATACATTTCTTTTACTTAAATTTTTTTTTTCTCTTTCTTACCTAATACAATTGCGCGCTCTCTCTTCAATTACGTTTTTTTAATTATCTTTTTAGATTTTGATGCTAATTTTTTCTCTCTCTCTTTAATTACGTTCTTTTTTAATTATCTTTTTAGAATTTGTTGCTAATTTTTACAGAGTGAAAATGTATCATCTAATTAAATATGATTTCTATCATTAAGCACATTTCTCATTAATTTCATATAATTACTGTTTGAAAAAGTTTTTTTTTTCTCTCTTTAGTTTCATTTCAATTATTATGGGAATATCTCTTTTTACTTCTCTCTTCAATTTTATATATGTTAGTTAAAAAAAATTGGGGGAGGGGGGGGGGGGGGGGAATGAGTATATTAAACGGTATAGATTTTGTATTATACTGGTGACCATTTTTCTTTGAAGTATAATAAATAACTTATAATAAAATATAATCAATTAGTTTATTCGTATTATAAACTATCACACTCAAAGCACCGTTCAATAGTTTTAATTTTTTTTAAAAAGTATATTAGATACTGTACATTGTAGATTATGTTTGGTGTACAATTATTTTTAATCACAATGAATAACTTACACCAACAAATAATTTAAATTGCACATGAAGTAAAAATCATGATTATAACATTATTTTTTGTTATATATTTCAACTATATGTTGCCTTACCCCATAATATTATCAATTATCTATCAATATTTATCATCGAATTAATAAATAATTATACCAACATATATGAAAAAATCACTAGTATTAGAAAAAATTTCATTCATAAAAAAATAAAATTAATTACAAAGTATTGTATCTATTTGATAAACGTCTTTTTGGTGTTTGTGTCATATATCACTCCTTCAATCTTGAAATCCACATACATTCCTGCGATACATTTCGATAAATAGTTAGACACATACTAACTTACAACAATGTATAAAACCATAATACAACCACTTGTTTATAATTTCTTAAATTACAAATTAATTAGAAATGGTATATAATATGGTGACGCTTTGGTGTACAATATGATAACGCTTTGGTGTAAAATATGTTGATGCTTTGGTGTAAAATATGGCGATTCTTTGGTGTACGGTTCAATCTAATATATAATATATGACGTACACCAATATATACACCACACAAACTAACCAAGAAATTACCATATTTTTCAAGTATAATCAACTTAATAAAAAAAAAGTGCACATAATAGTTTAACATTGCTATCTTGAACAATATTATACATTATGATTAAATTTTGGTATACAATGTGTTGCGCCGTAATTTTCCTATATGTAGAAAAAATTACCTTTTGAAATGTTCTAAGTATAAAACAATTTAAGAAAAATACTTAAAAAAAGAGTCGCCACTTAATTTTTTAAAGAAATTAAGAAAACTTATAATTTTCAAAGATTTAAACAGAAAAAATCATTTGAAAACACCAAAGAGGGTTCGGGGTTCAATTTACACTTCGAGAAGAGTTTAGGCATTCGAAATGTCCGCTAACACGCGGTTGACCTGCGACTTGACTAAAATTATTTTGACTAATTGTTTAACATAAAATAACAATTCATAATAGTCTATCAACTTAAAAAAAATAAAAGACACGTTATTTTATTTTACTTTTAAGAAAATGGACCTAAATATGAAATAATTGAAAAATGCATATGAATAAAATTTTAATAAAACTAGATAATTAAAATTCATATGATTCATTTTTGAAACAATACATTAAGCCAATTTAATAAATTAAACATGGAAATCAATTTTAATTAATTAATTAACCCTTTTTATGAAAAATGACTAAGTGGGCGTGTATATATATATATTTGTGTGTGTATATATATATATATATTTAATTGAAAATGTTTTGACTAGCACTTTTAGAGTTTATTTGAGGAAATACGTTAAATCACAACAATTTTAAAATGAAATAAAAAGGTGATTAAATGAAAAAGCTTTAAAAATATTATTTTTAATAACAAAAGGTTTAACTTAATTAAAATGTATAATTTGACCGACATATTTGATTGATATGATGAGTGAACTTTAAAACATGAAATATTAAAATTAAACCAACACAAAGAACTAACTCCTCTTTTGGGGAATTTAATTAAGTTAATTAATAATTCTAAAATTAGAGTTAAGAGACAAACAATAAATAATCGCAAATAAATAATTAAAGAGTAAGAGGGAAATTAAATTTGGGCCTTTTGGGCCTATTTCGTCGGGATTTTTGGACTTTTGCCCAATCCCGTTTTTGGTATACACTGGCTGTATATCAGTGTATACGAGCATGTATATCGGCTTTTTTACGCATTTTTCGCTCCCGAACACCTGTACTTCGCCCCTGCACAGTATTTTTCACGTTTTTGGCCACATATCTGTTGCCTTGATCCCGTATATTGGCGTATAATGCTGTATACAGTGTGTATACTGCCTGTTTTCGGACTTTTCATACACCTGTTTCAAATTTCAGTTCATACAAAATGATTTCCAACTCGATAAATGATTTGAGCCTTTATGGCCCTCTCGAGATGCAAGGAGGAAGGTAGGAGTTCGTAGTGAACTCAGATGGATTTCACATGCAATGAAAAGGAGAAGCAAAAAATTAGTAGACAATAGTAATATTTCTCAAAGTGAATAATTAAGATAGAATAAAATAAAATAAAATATTTTTAGTGGATGATAAAGACTAGTCAATTGCGACACCATAAACATAAATGTAACTTTACCATCTTAAACCAAAGTAACCCAGACTGATTGAATTATAACATAGACAACACGAGTATTAATAGGTCAAAATCAAGTAGTAATTGCAGCTCACAAACCCAAATAATTACTGCTCAAGTCTAGTAACTCTTATATACTATATGCCAATGAATGACTTAGAGAAGTTGATAATTCAATATTGAAACAAATATAAATAAGAGAATCGACCTCACATTGATACAATGGATATTCCTACACGAGCCACAACCACATAAAGCCAAAGACAAAATACATCAATGCCAACATTATACAACTTACTATGCTAAAATTCATCCAAGGTTAGTTAAATATTTAAACCTACAAAGCAAGAAACAATGAACATATTCTAAGGAAGGCATACTAAACCTGAAGCAAATCAAACTATTATTTTTATCATTATTAATCAAATAAGTGACTATATGCTGTCAATATGATACTTGAAACAAACTTTCATTCTTTAGACCAAAAGGAGTAGTAAAAAAAAAAAAATCATCGGCGACACAATCTAATACGAAAATCCGTATGAAATCACATTTTCCGACTTGCATTGATAGAAAAGTAACTAAACATGGGCTAATTTTCTTTGTTCCAAACAGAGCCCACAAATATGACATAACAAAGCAACGGGAGATTAGCAAAAAAGGATAAATAATCAGTGAACCACACGATGAGAGATTAACACAAAAAAAAAAAAAAAATCATCTCGAATGATCTTAAGGTTCAAACTTCCAACAGAAAAAATAAGACAAGAAAACTAAGATTTTGCACCGACTCCACCTTAAGAATGTAATGGTTCCGACTAAAATTTGAATAGAATGAAGATGTAAAATTGATTTAAACAAGTCATTTTAAGCAGTAAGACAATAAAGACATTTAAGAAATAGATAAACTAAGCAACCAGAATGCACCTACGCCATGTATACCTAAACATATCAGTTGGTCTTTAAAACTCAGCCCAATAAGAAAGTCTACCTTGGGCAGTAACTTCTCATGACTGCAACACTTAGATGCTTAACAACGATATAAATTAGTAGAGCTTTAAATCGATATCACGACTGACCCAGGGAAACGACTAAGAACATGTACTTCACGCCAAAACAATATCAATCCAATGATAACTAATCAGTGAACTACCAACAAAATAGCGATTTCCCAATATTAACAAAAAATAAATAACAAAAGAGATGAAGAGAAAGTTATCGGAGTAAACGTTACCTTTTCCGGGCAGCGAAACAGGGACGAGAGTTAAGAGCAAGGATCTTTGCACCACGAAATCTCGATACGAACAACAAACCCAGAATTCCTAGTCAGAATTAAATCATCGAACTTCTCGAAACTTAGGTCTAGAGAGTTATTCTAACTTTCTTAACTATCAATTAATTATTAAATGGAAAAATCCCAACTCCCTCCCATTCCCCTTTCACTGGAGGAGAAGAGACACATATATAGGGGGAAATTCGGAAAGGCCAAGGGTAGAATTGGGATTTAAATTTTTCGATTTGAAAATCTTACCCAAGGGATGGGAAAGACTGTCAATTGCTCAATATTCAAACGAAATCCCTCCAAATCCGGATGCAATATCAAATCGGACTGATGGGGGCTGCTGGAACGGTCTCTTCCTCGCGTGAAGGAGAAGAAATTATGGGCAGTGGGGTCGCGTTTGGCGCTGCTCTGCGCTGAAGTTGTTGGACTGTGTATTGTCGTTGATTTTCGGGGTCTCGCAGGGCTGAAGGCTGCAGGAAGCAGGTGAGGAAGAGTAAGACGCAGGGGTGGGGGGTCGTTTGGAATCGTATGGGATTGGGGTCATTTGGATTGGGTTTGGGTTTCTTCACATTTTGGAGAAGAAGAACGTACAGGGGCAGTGGGTTTTGGAGTTGCTGTTGTATGTATTGTATGTGTGGGAATGTTGAAGGGATTGTTGTATGTGGGCCGTCTGGAATGGGCTGGGATTGTATTGTTGTTGTTGATTAAATTGGGCCATTTGGAAAATGGCCCAAATAGAAAAGGAGTTAAGCCTTTTTTATAATATTGGATTTAATTTAGATGAATTAATATTAACTAATTACCGAGCTTCTTAATCTTAACAAAATAAAATAATTAATTTTAATTATAAAATAATTAATTTAATTACAAACTAATGAACTCAAAATCATAACTATAATTTTAACTAAACGTAAAATCTTTTGTGATGATTTTTAAATATTTATAAGATAACGTGATTGTAAAAATATACTTATTTATTATTAAAACTATTAAAATTATTGAAAATGATAAAATTACTCTAAATAACTTGAGAGTATTTTGAATTTCATAAAATTCATTTATTCAAAATTACGACCCTTACTACTAATAAAGTATTTAAAAATATAAAATCTTTTCGAGATGATTTTTTAATACTCGTAAAATGCAGTAACTATATATATAACTAAATAAAACATATATATTATAAAAAAGTGACAAAACTATTTAAAATAAACTTGCAAACTATGTTTATTTTATTTTATTTATGAAAATCCTATAAAACGCATTATTTTAAATTGTTAGCAATCGAAGAAGCTCGATGATTAATTTATATTGTGGAGGGTCAAAATTGGGTGTCAACACAATGCACTATAATACGAAATACATAAACTAAACTAAGATATACACCATAATTTAACCAAGACTTTTCCAATCATTTTATATAATCAAATTAATTAAAATTTGTGTGCCAAACAACATATGAAGCATTCATTCAAGCAATATTTTTCATAGTTAACACATCTATTTACATAAAAAATCAATCAACAAAAACAACAAAAAAACCTTAAAAAATAAAAATAAAAAATGAACTATATATTTTAGCAATCAAACTAAAAAATTAATAATTAAAAAGTTGATACATACTTGTTACACCCCATATTTCAGATTCCATCCAAAAAGCACCAATCAATAAAGCTATAACAATATATGTTTATAAAAAAGTTAAATCAATAAAACTAATAAATATATTTAAAACAATCCAAATTTATATTTGTGTATTATATTGGTATAATTTACAATTATTATGGTGTATGTTAGGGTTAAAATTTTGTGTACAGTTCAAACAAATATACATCATCATTTGCACCACAAATTAACCAAACAATGCCAATAAACAAACTAGCCACTGTCATATAACAAGACTTTATAAAATCCTATTTTATATTTGTTGGTAGTTTTGTTTTCGTTAGATACAAAATAAATAACACTACTTAGCAGAAAAATCCGATAAATAACATAAAAAATCAACAAAAATACACCATAATGGTTTGGTGTATATACGCCACAAACTAAAAAACATATGCATCCAAAATATATCGACTACACTAATACATAAACCACTAATTAACCAATAATTTAACTATAGACGAGTACCTACGTATACTGCAAAACAATTGAGAACAATATAATTTATGTTTTACAGATTTCATCCAAAAAACACCAATCAATAAAGCTATAACAATATATGTTTATAAAAAAAATCAAATCAATAAAACCAATAAATATACTTTAAAACAATCATAATTGAAGCAACTATTATGGTGAATACCTGTTTCATTCCATCTCTCGTGATGCTGAATTAAAATTGAAAAAATATTCATATTTTCTATTGAACACACTTTCAGAATAGTGGAGGTATAGAGTTTGATTTTGATTAGAATTATGAGAGAGAAACAGTAATTATATTAGAGATATTTATGGAAGGTAAATAAGAGAGGGGGAGAAAATTAAGGAATTAAAAAATAAATTGTGGGCAGTCATGCTTTTATTTCCGATTTTTATTTTTCTTTTTATTATTTATTTTATTGTTCCGATTTTGTTTAATAATTTCATTGTTTTGTAAAAAAAAACTATTGTTATGTTGGTGAAAAAAAGAACTATTGTTATATAGTTGTTATTTAGGTGCTTATTTTGTATAGTTAAGTTTTTAAAGAAAATTATTTAAATTTTATTTCTTAAATTAAAAAATAAACTTTGGGAATAGTAATACTTTAATTTTTAATTAATATTAATACTTTATTATTTAATTTTTGTCAAGGTGAAATATTTTATCCATGTGGAATGTTAGGTGTCAAGGTTTTTTCAAATAAAAGAGAGAGTATATTACACAGATCACTGAAGTGTGTTTCTCAAACTAATAAATGATAGTTTATGTATGAAACTCTAACTTTCAATAATTTAGGTATGAAACTCTAACTTTCAATAATTTAGGTATGAAACTCAAAAAAGTGGATAGTTTAGATGTGTTTTTATCTCTATATTTGACCTATAAGTCACATCCCTAATATCAACCTAGAAGAAGTTAGTCAGATCAGGTTGGTCTATTCAATGAAAAAGTTTGTGCTCACATTCAGTCTTTAATGGAGACAATCAAATGTAAGAAAAGAGGGATAAACCTTGATGGATGCCTAGTAATAAGGAGAGTTTCTTTGGTAGAAGTGCTTGGGAAATTGTAAGAAGCAAAAAGCACCCCTTGAAAGATATAATGTTCATTTGGAAAAAGGGTATTCGTTTTCATATATCTTTCTTATTATGGAGAATATGACTTGAAATAATTCCTACGAGGAGAAGTATTAGTCAGAAATAAGATCACAAACTATATGGAATGTTGTTGCTGTGCTAATAAGGTTCAAGAATCTTTCAATCATTTATTTATATCTTGTCCTGATTCTAAATATATATGAAGGACATTTGTAGGGGCAGCTGGAATACATTGTCGTTTTACTCAACTCAGGCAAATCATTTATAAATGGTGGGAAGAATGTAGTGAAGCATGACTAGATGTTCAATGGTAATAGAAATTAACAGGAATATATATTTGATGGCCACCCATAGATATCCATGGTTAGTGGGAATGCCTTAAAATTGGCCATCAATAGTGCAAATTCTTAAAAATTACACAGTAAAGCAGTAAGATTATTAGTATTATAGTTTTTAAATTGAAGTAGAATTTATTGTTGAATAAGGTTATAAATTTATATTTTGCTTTTCTTTTAAGCCATAGGACGTTATGTTGAAATTTGACATAAGAATATAATATTAAATTTTTTATTTTAAATTTAAAACTTATGTTATATTTTCAGTTTCATTTGTTTTAGTACTACTGAGTTGATATTTCACATTGTGAGTCATTTATTTTTTAATTGAATTGATAGATTATCTTTTTGTCAAATATTTTCATAATTTATGACATTATATTTAAAATATTGACCTTTTTGTCAAACATGTATTTTTGATGTTCATAGAAATTTTATACTTTTAGTTTTTATTATTAGTTTAATTAAAATATACTAATTTTATTAAAAATATAAATCATTTTTATAATATTAATTAAGAATATATGTTTGTTAATTAATATATTTTTAAAAGAATAAATATTTCATTTAATATCATTTATAAAGGCACTTATTTGTCTAATATAGATATTTAATTTTAAATAATTTCTTTTATTTTTAAAATTTAATATAACCCTGTGATTAGATTTGTGCATGTAATTACATTGTAATAAACAATGAAGTCATCATAATTACTATTTACGAGACTAGTAATTACTATCCTAATAATTACACCAAGCTACGGATAAATTACCTGCAGTGGTATTGTCTGAATTTAATTACTAAAATTAATTGAATGACAAATACAAAACTAACATTGCCCCATTTCTTTTGTAAACTGAAAAAACTAAAAATAAAATAAAATCAATCCAAATAGAGCAAAGTAAAGATATAAAATTAGCATTTCATTGTCGGCAGATGTCATTTTTCGTTCAACATAAATATGAGGGTACAAACAAACTGAATTTCCTTTAAATTGGAACCTAATATAAACATTTAATTTTGACCAAGGGTGAGGGCATGGAAACACTTCTCAATTCGGCTTAATTCCCTTGCAACATGAATCATGTATGGTCTATCATCTCCTTCGTCAGCAGTGCATTTCTTAACAAGAACCAAGTAGTCTTCCAATTGTTGTTGAATCTCAATTCCATGCTCTTCTAAGATAGTTGGATCCGTAATATCCATTACATTGCTCTCTTTAATATAACGATCGACAAAGTAACTGGTTGGAAGATTTTTAAAATCTATCGCCTCTTTTGAATTTGTGGAATCCACTCTATCCATAGAATTACCCTCTTCAGTATTGGATTTAGTGTTTTCTTCAAAATCAATTGTCTCTTTTGAATGTGTAGATTCCACTCTATCGTACGGGCCTTTTCTGGTTAATAGCTGAAAGAGAAGAACCCCAAAGCTGTAGACATCAGTTTTTTGAGTAATAATACCCAGTTGGTAATATTCTGGAGCAATATACCCCCGTGTTCCACTCACACCATCATCTAGTACCTCCAATTCCCCTGGAGGCAATGATATGGAGAGTGAGAAGTTCAATATTTTGGCAATGCCGCTCTTCTCATCTAGTATCACATTAGATGGCTTTATACTTCTGTGGATGATGGGAGTAGTAAATTCAGTATGGAGGAAAAGGATTGCAGAAGCAACCTCACGTGCAACTCGTAATCGATTTCCCCAACATAGCGATTTTCTATTTAGATTATCCTTTTTGAAAAGTAGATGGAAAAGAGATGTACCTTCAACATCTTCATACACCATAACTGCTTTTTCAAATTCTAGACAGCAACCAATAAGTCTCAACACATTCTTGAGATGACTCATCTGAGCAGAAATGGCTATATCTCGGTGGATGTTGTTGAATTCACATGTATCGAACCTAATTAAAACAGGGCGGTTGTCTAGCGATCCCGCAACCATAGACACATGACCGGCAAGGTCCATTTTTGTTTGAGAGTGTTTTATTGCATTGTGGATCTCAGTGGCAGTGAAGTAACGGATGGGAATTCTGCAATTTCCGTCGCATAAAGCAAGAAGCTCCTCAAGTACCGCACTTCCATTCTTTAAATAACAATCATACTCTTTCTTCCGCCTTTCGGCAGAGGCAGAGGAAAACAAAGTTTTCCTTGTGAATCCCCTCAAGAAAGGCATCTCCAATTTAGAAGTGACTAGTCTTCATGAATTGGAATTAAATCCACTAAGGCATCCATCACTGGTAGTGGAATCTATGAGCAAGTTGGAACTTGGAAGCTGCTGGTCTTAATTTGTGCATTCAAGATCCACACAAAATAATGACGACTTGATTGGACTCTTTTTAAGCATTTCCAAGCACTTTCATTGTAATTGTTTATCAAGTTTTTCCCATTAGGACACCCTAATGTCGTCGCCCTATTAATTAATGGAAATGTTTTATATTAGGGAGTTGATGTTTTTAATTATTATTTATTTATGTTAGGAGTTGACTCAGTACCTGGCTTTTGGATATGTAGCGGGATAACATCTAAATTATATTCATCTATTATTTTTTCTATAACTTATACCATATTTGATAGGTGGAAAGAAAATAAGTTATTCATATATATAAAATTAATATGATATTTGTTTGACAATATAGAAATTCTCATAACTGAGTACAAGTACAAGTTATGCAAAATAGAAGATAGAATAACTGATACATGTATAATTAATTCATACATAAAGTAATGGAAGAATTCAATATCTACACATCCTTATTTACCATATTTTCTACTCAACAAACCTTGAATCAATCTTCCCTTGGTCTTCCGTCCCCCCTCCAACAATTTCTAATATTAAAGGTTTTGTCCCTATTGAATTGACATATGTCAATTACCTTACTTGGAAGAAGGTTTATTGTCACAGTTCTGAAAAGTTATAATCTGTTGTCTGTTGTAGAGAGAAAACTATTGTGTCCATCGCCAAATCACGAAGAATATAAATTATGGATTCAGTGTGATACTATTGCATTGAGTTGGATTAATGCAACACTTTCGACGGATGTTCTTGATACACTTTTGAACTATTCTTGTGAGACATCTAAAGAGGCTTGGGACACTTTAACCTCGCTGTATTTGGATCAAGTTTCTTCCTCATCCATTCATCTTAAGTCGAAATTTCAAAATTTCAAGAAAGGTTCTCTTTCTATGGAGGATTATCTTCAAGAACTTCACTCGATTGCCTGCTCTCTTTAGGGCAATTGGCAAGCCTTTGACGGCTGACGATTTAGTCACTCAGGCTTTGCAAGGTCTACCTTCATCTTATCGTACTTTTGTGTCTGGATTAAATGCCACTGGCTCGCTTCCTACTTTTATTGCGTTACGACCACTACTCCTCACGAAAGAAGCCCACATTAGTACAATTTCTTCAGAAGAATCAAATCCTAATTCTACCTTGCTTGTGACAACTCATGGGCAAAGCAATTATGCTACATCATCCCCTCACAGACATCAACCTGTGAAAGGACACTCACATGGACGAGGTCGTGGTAGGAATAACAAAGGACAATATGGTAGGGGTCGAGGATTCAATAACTCTTCATAGTCGAATTTTCAAAATAATATGCGACATTTGTCACCCGCTAATGGTATTTTGGGACGACCACCATTTACTCCGGCTAAAAAGTGTCAAATATGTTTTCACTATAACCACACTGCCTTGGAGTGTAGAAACAGATTTAATCACTCTTTTGTAGCTAACAATATTCCTCAATCATTTGTTGTTATGAATTTGGAGGAGGTTCACCCAACGGTTTGGTATCCGGACTCTGGAGCATCGGCGCATATGACAAATAATCCTTCTAGCCTTACTTCTCATGCTTCATACTCTGGTTCTTCTCAGGTCATGGTTGGTGATGGTACTCTTCTCTCCATTAACTCTACTGGTTCCTCTATTCTTCCTACAAACTCTTGTAACAAAAGTTATCATTGAAGTTGTCCCGAATTTTCAAATAGACACATTAACTTTGCAACCGTCCTATTACCCCACTAAACAATTTTGAACAGATATTATTATATTATTTTTCGTCCACTTGACATAGAGAGTAGTGTGCACTCTTTCAAAGAAAGTGAGTAACCTAAAATAACTAATATAATTTTATTTTTACAAGTATTTTATATAAAATATATTTTCTTATTATTTTAAAAAAATTTCCTTTTAATTTTTTTCTTTCTTTCTTTTTTCTTCTTCAAAAATTCACTGTCATCTCCATTGAAGCTTCTCACTTTCAATTTCACCATTTTTACCACAACTTCACCTTTCTTTTTTTTACTACTATTAGTTTTACTCTCTTTAATTTTAATATTTATCTAAATATTTTCTTACATTTCAAACAATTTGATAAACCCATTAGATTTCAAGATGATTAGGAAGTATCATATAGTCTTTTTTTGTCCGATTTCAATTAAGTTCTTTCAATTTTCGGGGAATTCATTGATTCTTTTAAAATATCATTTCTAATTTTGAAGTTATATGAAAAGGAGTAATTGATGATACCTTCAAAATTTTAAATTTTCTTAGAAAAATAATTAATTTTGTTATCAATACTTCAATAAAGTCTAAAAAATAGTATGAATTCTATATAAAAAAATTGACCAGAGAAGAAGAAGAAAAAGAAAAGAAAAAAAATGGGAGTGGGGTTCAACTTGAAGTGGGGGTGGGGTGAGGATGGGAGGTGAAGAAAAAAAAATGGAGGGATGGATTACTTGAAAGTGGGAGGTGGAAGATGAAGTAAAATTTAAGATGAAATCAAAATTGAAATAAGTCAAAAAGTAAGAGAGAGATAGAGAGAAATAAATAAAAAGAAAGATAAAGAAAAAACTTTAAATGAAAAAAAAATACATTTTTAATTAAATTAACACGTGTCATGTAATGATTGGTGTGTGAACACACTTCTTAAAATCTGGGGCTGATCGAAAAATAATATAATAATATATGTTCAAAATAGTTAGGTGGGGTAATAGGACAATTGCAAAATTAAGGTGTCTTTATGAAAATTCGGGACAACTTCAGTGGTGATTTTATGTCTTTTTTATCTTACCCAATCTATAAATAACAATCATCTATAGAGATGTTCAATGTTCATTTTCATTTTTTCATTCTTTCTCTTTATTAGTATAGTTTTTTCCTCCTTTTAATTTTTTTTTCTTTCATCTCTTTCATCTTTCATGTACTTAACAATGTTATGATATGATCTTCACTTTGATAAATATCATAGGCCAAACACATATACAACCCCTCAAACTTGCCCTCATTTTTCATTTTGGCACTCCAACTTAGCCTTGTTCCATTTTAATCCTTAAACTCCATTTTTTATGTACCATTTAAACACTAATACTAATTTTTATGATTTTTTTATTTATGTTCTTCTATTGCAATTTTTTATTTTAAAAAAATAGACGTGTGTCTGTTAATTTTCGTAAAAAAATTAAACATTGGCGAACGAACATAAAAATTTTCAAACAATAATATTATTTTTTGAGATTTCTCTGTATTTTTGCATGAAAGTAAATTAACAAAAGTTCTTTGATTTTCTTTCTTAAACATTCAATTAAATTAAATAACACTACTTATTTATTATTTCTTATCATCTAGGCTATCTAAATTTAACGCAAATACTCACTTTTTATTTTTAATATAAATCAATACGAATAAAAAAACTCATCTTCAATACGAGTAAAAAAGACTCTTGTTCATTGCTAATAACACTACTAAAAAATGTTAACACTCGACTGACTTTAATTTGTTAGATTGTCGGTGATTTTTAAGAAAGAAAATCAACACAAGTTCGTCAGTTATTTTTCACATAAACATACATAAAACTCTTAAAAATAAATAATTATTTTTAAAAATAATTATTTTTTGTAACTAATGACACATGTCGATTTAAAATAAGAATGCAATTGAAGAATATATATAAAAATAAAGAAATCATAAAAATAATAGTTCGTGTTAAAATGATACATAAAAAATGGAGTTTAAGGGTTAAAATGGAACAAAGCTAAGTTGGAGTGCCAAAATGAAAAATGAGGATAAGTTAGAGGGATTGTATATGTGTTTGGCCAATATCATATATATATTCTTCAAAGATTCATCATAGAGATGTTCGCATTAGTTTGGTACAAGTTCATCAAAATGAAGAAGGAAACTTAATTCTTGGAATATTCATCAAAAGAGATGGTCATATTAGTATAAAAGTTCGAATGGTTTCCAAATATTTTAAATATTCATTAATGTATTGTTTTGACTTCAACTAATATTATTTTATTTTTCTTTTTTATTTTATTTTGATCAGATATATAAATTTCTTTTTATTCACCAAAAAATAAATTATGAAACTCTACTAATCAACATATTAGAAAGTTCAATTAGCATTTTTTGTTAATTAATTTTGTTCTTCTTATTATTATTTTTACTATTATGCGGATGAATGGAGATGAAAAGTATCACATTTTTGTTCTTGTGTGTATTTGTTTGACAATTCAAATTAATATTCTAAATTTTTGTCATTGTTGAAAGGTATAATATTATTGTATGTTACATTTCGCATAGCTATTAGATATTGCTGCCCTAAAAATATATGATATGGTCTATCATATTAGAAATCAATCACAAAATAAATAAATACATAAATAAACTATCTTTTTTATTATTTTTAAAACTTTTAATTAATAAATAAATTATTTAATGAAAAGAATGAAGAAAAAAATCTCATAAATATGTACATATATAATAAGAAGTTATTTTATAGTTGTGCTATAATAAATGTGCATTTGTGATTAATATGTATTTAACTTGTAACTATTTAAAACAAAAATTATCTATCTTATTTATACATTAAAGAAAGAGTTATCTTTTGAATAATTATTATCATATATTCTTTTTTTAGTGATGACTATAATAATAATTAGATTAATGTTATAAAACTCTTCCACTCCTCTACATGTGTATCTGTTTGTCAATTTCTAATTAAAATTTTAAATTTTTGTCATTGTTGAAAGTATAATATTACCTATGGCACATTTCTCATAGCTATTAGTTATTGTTGCCCCTAAAAATATATGATATGGTCTAGCATATTAGAAATCAATCACAAAATAAATAAATAAACCATCTTTTTAGTATTTTAAAAATTTTTAATTAATAAATAAATTATTAATGAAAAGAATGAAGAAAAAAATCTCATTTATGTGTACATATTTAATAAAAAAAATATTTTATAGTTATGCTATAATAAATGTGCATTTGGGATTAATATGAATGTAACTTGTAATTATTTAAAGCAAAAATTATCTATCTTAATTTTTCACATTATAGAAGGAGTTATCTTTTGAATAGTTATTATCATATATTAACTTTTTTTTTTTAGTGATGACTACAATCATAATTAGATTAATGTTATAAAACTCTTCCACTCCTCTACATGTGTTAAGGACAAACAATGAAAAATGTAATGGAAAAATAATTATAATTAATGATAAAGGGTAAATTAGAAACTAAGTGAAAAATTATCTATTGATTTCATAAAGTGGCAAGTATTGTTGGACAATTCAAAATACTCCCTCTGTCCCTAATTACTTGTCCACATTTCGTTTTTTAGTTGTCCCTAATTACTTGTCAATTTTGACAAATCAAGAAAGAACAATTTTTTTTTTACATATTATGACCTCAATTAATTACTTTGAAAAAAGGCACTATGTCAATTATTGTTTTCTTAATAGGTGTGTCAATTAAAAAATAAACAAGTAATTAGGGACAGAAGGAATAGTACAATGGACAACTACTATCGGGGAGGGAGTATTATTTATTTGTGTTAGGGAGTTGACTCAGTGCCTGGCTTTTGGTTAAAGCCAATGAAACACAAACCTCCAATTTTATCTTTTACTATATATTTTCTGATCGCAACATTTGTTTCTTAATATTATTGGCCTTTTATGATCTATAGTGAAATAATCAAATACCACTTTCTTTATTTTCGTGCATAGAAAAAGTATCGGGTGTTTTGTTTCATTTTACACTATACTCATGGTCAAATGTTAATTAAAGATTAATTTGTGGAGATCAAAGATTTTTCGAAGCACCTTTGGCGTGACTCAAATTGTTTGACTTGGCAATTCCATAATGGAGGTTTCAAATTTGAAACACCTGCAACAATATGTTCGCCTTTTGGGTCAAGCTCATCACACGAGTTTCCTAGTACTGTTTTACCTTTCATATGTGGTGTACATGCTATTGCACAAAAGTAGGGGTTCTGAGTTGATCTTGTTCCTGTTCTGAGTGGGAAAATCTCTTAAAGAATCATACAATTTAAGACCAATATGAAAGTGGCTGATTTCTTATAAAGAATCAGCTGGAAGATTAGCCTCTCTGTAGGTATGACTGATTTCAATAACCTTAGCTTGTTGATAGAGATTCCATATCTCCTCCAAGATGCAGAACAGGTTCCAAGGATATTGGAGTCTGTTTCTAAATGGATTTTTGAGAATCCATTATTCAGACACCATTGAATTTCCAAGAGAGCATGCAGCCTCAACCTCTGCATGATTGTTGGTACCTATCCTCTAAGGTTTAGACATGGCCTTAATTAGAGATAATCACACCAACCCCAATGCTTCTCGGATTAAAAGAGAGCACTACCGTCAGTGTTGACCTTCACAAACTCAGCCTCTGTTCTAAACCATTTTAGCTGAATGATATGCTTGGTAGATTCTATATATTTCACTGTAAAGATCTTGCCACTTGTTGGACCATTGAATAGTAGGGTAAGTTTTGTTGTGAATATCATAGTTGATAGCATAAAGAATTCTAGCAAACTTCTTATTGCCATATTTGGCTCTACACCTATTCTTCCAAAGATTCAACAAATATAAATAGGCATAGTATGAAGGATAAGCTTATGGACACCATTAGAATGTGTTTTTCAGCCACCATTTCATAATTAGCAATCTCAGAGAAAGATATGGCATGGAACCTGAAAAGAAGTTCCCTATATACCTTCTTGGCTAGTTGACTTTGTGCTAAAAATGTGGTGGATCATTTCCTCTCTCGCATTGATGCAACATACGCTTCAGGAATGAGTTGCTTCAAACGACAAATACAAAACTAAGGAGAAATCAATCCAAACAGAGCAAAGTAAAGATCAAATTGGCAGTTTCATTGTCTGCACATCTCTTTTTTGTTTAACATAAATATGAGGGTACAAACAAACTGAACTTCCTTTAAATTGGAAGCTAATATGAATACTTTAAAGAAATAAAAATGAACATTTAATTTTGACTAATAGCGAGGGCATGGAAACACTTTTCAATTCGACATAATTCCCTTGCGACATGAATCATGTATGGTCTATCATCTCCGTGTCAGCTGTGCAATTCTTAGCAAGATCCAAATAGTCTTTCAACTGTTGTTGAATCTCAATTCCATGCTCTTCAAAAATAGTAGGTTCCACTATATCCAGTACATTACTCTTTTTGATATAGTTATTGATGAGGTGGGTTGGAGAAATTTTATAATCTATTATCTCTTCTAGAATTGCATAATTTACTCTATCCAAAGTATTACCCTCTTCAGTATTGGATTTAGCGTCTACTTCAAAATGTATGCTCTCTTTTGAATTTATAGAATCCACTCTAGAATTCAAAATATCTCGTACTTCCTTTCCGGTTAATAGCAGAAAGAGAAGAATCCCAAAGCTGTAGACATCAGTTTTTTGAGTAATAATAAGCTGGCAGTGACGTTCTGGAGCTATATACCCTATTGTTCCATGCACCCAATCTTCTTGCAACTCCAATTCCCCTGGTGGTAATGAAATGGAGTGTGAGAAGTCTACTATTTTGGCAACGCCGCTGTTCTGATCTATTATCACATTAGATGGCATTATATTTTTGTGGATGATGGGCGTAGTAAATTCAGTATGGAGGAAAACAATTGCAGAAGCAACATCACGGGCAACTCGTAATCTATTTTCCCAAGGTAACGATTTTCTAGTTTGATCATTCATATTACCCTTTTTGAAAAGTAGATCCAAAAGAGATATACCTTCAACATATTCGTACACCATAACTGGTTGTTCAAATTCTAGACAGCAACCGACAAGTCTCAACACATTCTTCAGATGACTCATCTGAGCAGTAATTGCTATATCTCGGTGGATATTGTTGTGTTTGCATGTATTGAATCTAACTAAAACAGGGCGGTTGTCCAGCGATCCCGTAACCATATCCACTTCGTCAAGCTCCATTATTGTGGTTTTAGAGTGTTTTATTGCATTCTCGATCTCATTCGCAGTGTAATAACGGATGGGAATTCTGCAATTTCCGTCGCATAAAGCAAGAAGCTCCTCAAGCACACAACTTCCATTATTCAAATAATAATCCTTCTCTTTCTCCCGCCTTTCGGCATCGGCAGAAGAAAAAAGTTTTTTCATTGAGAGTAGTAGTCCCCTGAAGAAAGGCATGCTCTAATTTTGAAGTAACTAGCTAGTCTGGATAAATTGGGATTAAATCCAATAAGGTATATCACTACTCACAAATGGGAAGCTGCTTCCTATTTGCGCATTCAATTCCACACAAATTGAGTTGCCTACCACTTCCATTGAAAATTCTGTGAATGCAATCAGTCGATGCCAATGGAAACGCGTTGCTTTACAAAGTTTGGGCTCCACCCCGCCTTACAAGCCGTGGTGACCTTACATTGTAAGTTAAGTCTACGTTAACCTTTTCTGTTTTTAAAGAAAAAAAAATAAAGGCGTGGTGCCTCCAAGCTTTTGGCCATTTGTTTTCTTATCCGCTTCTATGGTCCCTTTTGAAATTTTAATTTAAAAAATTGTCCTTTAGTCTCTGAATTAATTTATTTTTTCTTTATATAGCTTCTTAATTATTTTCTTCGTTACTATTTATATATGTAGTCTTTATTAAAAATAAACTTGATACTTGTTATTTACAAAATTAATGCATAAATGATAGTACTATTCTTTCTATTTTACTTTGAAAGTATGAATTTGATCAACATAGGAAAATTAAAGGGTAAAAAACATAAATTTACAATATAAAGACCTTAATAACCATTATATAACAGTAGTTTTATTTTTCATCAATATAGCAATATATTTTTTTCAAAAACAGAAAATAATATTAATTAATTTTAAAAAAGGGAATATAGAGACCTGAGTAGCCACGATTTCTCCCATTAAAAACAGAAAATTGTTATAAAATGATATATTGTGGATGTCCACTACACCAAGAAGTTACTACATTACTTCCCTCCATTATGAAAATAATCCACTACACCAAGAAGTTACTACATTACTTTCCTCCATTATGAAGATAACCTCCACCTTTATGATAATTATTCTTGTAACCTTTCACCTCCATAACCTCCTTCATTATATTCATGTTTAATGTCATGTTTATGACTAACATTTTGTATGCCTCTATGTTACACTATAAATAGAGGCATAAGGGTTCATATTGTATACACTTGAAGATTTGGTGAACAATTGAATAAGAAAAGCTCTCATCTCTTGTCTCCCTATTTCTATAGCTATCATCTTTTATATTTCTTGTATTGTTTTACTTTAGTTTTATAACACGTTATCAGCACAATTGTTCTACTATTGAAGCAAAGTAAATATAAAGAAGGTAAAATTATTTGTGTTTATTTTTCTCTCGAAAACAAGGTAAATTACTATATAATCTATTTTATATTTTACTTTTGATTATGCATCATTAGTTTTCTTACCATCTCAAAATCCAATGAGTCTAGCAAGTTGCTTTTACTTTGAGCAAACTTTTAATTTGATCACTTATATATTTAAAAAGTAAAATTAATTTTGTAAGTTAATAATTTGTAAAGAAATTGTTCTTTATGATCTTGTTTTATTAAAAGATAAGTTATTGAGTTATGTGGCATATACATATTGATTGGATTATCATTATTGGTTATTTTTGTACTAATTTATTTTTCTTTATCTAAACATTTACTTGTTGAGTTATTGATATATTATTTGTACTAACAAAGTTTGTTTTGTTGTTATTTTAAAATGGTTAGTAAATTATGTTAAATCTTCTTAACAATATTGAGAAGGAATGTTAAAAAGGTTTTAATTTATTTTAACTTGGGAATTTTACATGATTCCAACATGTTGTTCTAATTAATTGATTTTGTTCATTTTCTTATGTTTTAAGTTAAATTCAAATTATATTTATGGTATTCAATATTTATTTTTTGGTAATGCATTTGGTTTATTAAGACATTGGTTGAGGGTAAGACGGTGAATTCAGGTTTCAGCGCACCAAGTGGGTAAGACATCGAGTTAAAGTCTCGGTGCACCATGAAAATAAGAAGTTGTGTTCAAGTCCCGTTGATTTATGACCAAAGGCGTCTTTATATGGGTAAGACATTTGATTTAAGTCCTAATGGACTATAGTGATGATATGATGATGACTAACATAAAGTTATATACTTTTGACTGAAAGTCATGAAATCCGCCTAATTGATTTGCTCCATTCTCTTATGTGAATGTGGTAGCACCGCATAATATGTCTGAAAAATGACAAGTGGTTGAATGTATGAATATGAGTGTAATAAAATGTTAATGTCATCATTGTGGTAATTAAAAGGAAGAACATTATGGGTTCTTAAGATGTTCCTTCAAATGTGAAGGTAATTTTGTCCATTAAAGTGGTATAAAAGGTTATTGGACACATTGTTTCTTAAAATAGTCCTTCAAATGTGAAGGTAATTGTTAAAGGTATTTTTTTTCCATCAAAGTGATATGAGAAGTTATTGGGCACATTGTTGTTGGTGCAACCCAATTTGAAAAGTTTTGTAAATCTTCCATCAAAATAAAGGAATACAAAGTGGTAGTACATTTGACCTCTTAAAGTGATGTTGAGGTGAGTCATATAATGCCAAAGCATGACAATGAGTTTCTGATAAAAACTTATGGAGCATGTACAAATGGTTATGGTCCATTTCTTGAAGAAAATGTGACTTGTGTTCGTATGGATAAGAACATGTTCATGTATTGTTGGATGAATGTCACATCTCACCTCTACGAGAGGTTTGAGAGATTGTAAGGAAATATTTTGATATAAATGATCATTTTGGTCATATACTTTGAGTACTACACAAATATTGTGGTATGTTTTATTATGAACTATTGGAGGACAAAAGAAAGAAATAAACCTTTTATATAAAGGTTGCGGCCATGACCAAAATAAATGTTGTTGTGTGGCAACACAAATTTGTCATTGGTTGTCAAGAAATAAGTCTTGCATGTCATAATTTTAACCATGACAATAATAATAATTTTCTCCTTGAAGGAGATGGTCGCCATAAGAATGGCGTTGTGAAATGTGTGGTAGTACACAAAATTAATTGAGAGTTCCGAAAGGGCTAATTTGTTACTATCCGGAGGAATGAAATTGTTCATAATATTGGGGTTGTAGTAAGTCTCAAAAGAATTTTTTTAAGTTTCGGAAGAACTGGAAAAAAAATATTATATTGAGACTAAAAATAATGGGAAGATTTAATATCTTCAAATTACTACAACCAAAGTGGGTTATAAATATTTACGTATAAGATTACCCATTTTTTCCCCGTTGTTTGTTGTATACAAATATGGGCATGATGATGAAATCACATGCAAAAGTAAACTAGAAGTTTACTAAAGTAAATATCAGTTGGCATAATCGGTTGGCCATTCCGATTCAAATGTGATGCAAAAGAAGTTGAGAATTCACGTGGCTATGTTTGAAGAAATAAAAGATTCTTCAAAAATTCTCTTGTGATGTTTGTTCTCATGATAAAATGATCATTGTATCAACTAAGGTTGGGATTGAATCCCTGAAATTATTTGGAACATATAAGGTGAATATGGGCCCATTCACCTGCCATGTGGACCACTTACTATTATGATTTAATAGATGCATCTATGGTATGGTCACATATGCATTTGTATCAACTTACAAATTGGTTTTTGTAAGGTTGTTTGCCCAAATTGTTAAATTAAGAGCACAGTTCCAAACTATAAAATTATGTTGATAATACTGGTTGGTTTAGCAGAAATTGTTTGCCTCCAATTATAGTTAGACCATTGATTATGAGAACAAATCTCTCAAATAAATTTTGGTATGATATGTGTTTATTTAACGTGTATGCATCAAGCCAACAAGGTTCTCCCATCACAATTGGTTCAGGATCAGGAACCAAATAATTTCCATCTAAAAATTTGATGCGTGCACATATGATTTTATTGATCCACCACGCACAAAGATGGATCCCCAAATGAGGTTGGGGGTAAATGTTAGATTTCCTAACATTAGGGGGAAATATGTTTAGCAGCTGAAAATTATGTGTGGGGTGAATTATATAGGTCCTCGTTAAAAAAAAAGTGAACTTGAAGTTCAAGAGATAATTCATTTGCAAACTGTTGCAAATAATTTGGCAGATGTATTTTCTGACCCAATATTTTAATTAAGCTGCAAATGCTCCAATAAATAGTCCTTAAAGGACAGAGTCTATGGTACGCCAGAAGCATGATAGACCAATCGATTCCAAACGTAAAATTCCTTGAGGAAGGAAAGGAGCAAATTATCAAAATGGTCATGACAATGAGGTAAGTGCTTTGAAAGATCACCATGACATAACATTTCATAAAACCATGGCAAAGATTCAGGTACCTGAAAATGATGAAAAATGAAGAGATCTCGATAAGTTATGTCATATTGAAATTGATATCAAAATGACTATCGACGGTATCTTTGATATGAAGTAACACTCAATGCTATAAATGATTACGAGGATCTTAAATTCAAATATGTCATATAGTGTAGACAGATAAATGATTGGCCAATAAAATGTATTATTCAAGTATATTTTGTTTCACTTAGAAAATGATATTTTTGAACTTATAGTTCGTAGATCAAAATATATGTCAGTGGGGTACAAATGAATCATTGTGCGAAAGTATAACTGTAAGATATAAAGTGCAATTTGTGCCTCGAGGCATAAAGGTTTTTCGCAAAAATCTAGACATTATTAAATGGAGATATATTATTCAGTGGTGGATGCAATAAGACTTGTTTCAGTCTGGCAATAGATGAAATACTTGAATATGCATAATGAATGATTATTATGTCTAACTTGACGATGAATGTTATATGAAAATCCTTGAAGGATTTAAACGGTCTTAAGCAATTTCATCAAGTACCCAATGATTTTGAGACTGCTTAACATAGAGAAAGAATCCTTTTTATCTCATGAAAATAATTTAAAATGTCATGTATTAGTGCAATTAGTGCACTTACAAATTGCTGGTTATGCAAATGCTAGAAGATTATTTGATATACATAACGAAAGTTATGTGAAAGGATTGTCATAATATCATTCAAGTTATGACAAGAAACTAACAAAGCAAGTGCCTTAACACATAGAAGATGTGTGATTTTCTTT